TTTCATGTATTGCACATTTTAAACAGCAAAAATCCCAGAAGTGCCCCTGGAGGACATGAACAGACCATTTAGAACATCAGTGCATGCCAAGGTTGGGTCTCTGCAAGCCACAGGCTCCCTGCTCCTCTGTCCTGCCCCCAGTCACTATTAAACCATTTAGGGAGTAAGAAGCAAAATTACAGGGCAGAGACATGGGCACGGAGGATACTCACAGGGAAGGGAACCCCAGACTCTTAGCTCCTGCCTCTCTGCCATGCAGATATGGTGGTCACTGTGGTGCTGTGACAGCTGGTTAGAGACAGGGTGGCCATGTGGGCCTTGGTGGGAAGTGAGACGACCACTATGCCCAGGCATCCTGCAGAGATACAGGGCCTGATTTTGAGGGTGGCAAGTAGGTCAACACTGCTTCACCTCACATTGTCATCCCCACCCAAGGGCAGGGAAGAGCACTTGGCCCCTGTGAAACTGCCCTGCCAGGTAGATCAGAGGCCTGTGGAGCTGCGAGCATGCCACAAGGAGACACAACAGAGACAAACTGGACAGAGAAAGTAGCACCTGCCATGCTGTGTGCTGAGCTCTTTGATTCATTGGTGGCTTCCGTGCCTTAACTCCCCATGGGACTGGCTGCCAGGCTTGGTAGAGGAAGTCTGTCTGAGAACCCCGTGGCCAGGCAAGGGCTTCCTTGACTGACCCTACTTGCTGCACAGAATTTTTGCACTAAATTACACTGTTTCCTTAAAGCTTTAGTTTACATTAATTGCTTTACTGTACTCAGAACCACCAGAACCTCCTTGCTGGGGTGAAGGTGGAGAAGCAGGGTGGCGGGAAGGGTCTGGCTGTGCAGCCTGGAATGTGACCATGGAATTGTGAGTGACTGTAACTGGTGGTTCCTTGTTACACGGCAACACAGCTGCTCAGTCTCAAGTGCCTGTTAAATTGTGAGGTGTCACAGAGTCAAAAGCATTATGGAAGAACAAAGTATGTATCTGTCTAGAGTTGATACTGGTATAGTATATTTTCATTTTTTGATGTAGTCTAATTTATATTTTTATTTATTACTTTTTAAAGATTTATTTATTTGAAAGTCAGAGTTACACAGAGGGAGAAGGAGAGGCAGAGAGAGAGAGAGAGAGAGAGAGAGAGAGAGGTCTTCTATCCGCTGGTTCACTCCCCAACTGGCCACAACAGCCAGAGCTGCTTCCTCCAGGTCTTCCCACATGGGTGCAGAGACTCAAACTCTCGGGCCATCTTCTCCTGTTTTCCCAGGCCATAGCAGAGAGAGCTGGATCCAGAGAGCTGGATCAGAAGTGGAGTAGTCCGGACTAGAACCGGTGCCCATATGGGATGCTGGCACCTAAGGTGGCAGCTTTACCAGCTATGCCACAGGGCCAGCTCCTAGTCAAATTTATATTAATCTTTCCTTGAGTCCAGTACATCCATATAGCTTCACCTAATTTTGTCTTATTTTAAATAGCTAAACATGATTTTTATCTTTTTCTTTGAGGCAGCCTTTGGAAAGACATCCATATTAATCTAAACAGGACTCTAGTTTTAGTGATTTTGATATTTTGATACTCCTGGATTCCACATTGCTTCTCTCTCCTACTGAATCTTCATCAAGAAAGACCCAGCAGGTCCCGGTACTGTGGATCAGTGGGTTAGGCTGTGGCCTGAGGTGCTGGCATCTCTTATGGGTGCTGGTTCATGTCCCAGCTGCTCCATTTCTGATCCTGCTCCCTGCCAATGCATCTGTGAAAGGTGCTGAGGATGGCCCAAGTGCTTGGATCCCTGCACCCACGTGCAAGACTGGAAAGAAACTCCCAGCTTCTGGCTTTGGCCAGTCTGGGCCTCAGGCATTGCGGCAGTTCAGGGAGTGAACTAGCAGATGGAAGACATCTCTCTCTCTCTCTCTCTCTCTCCCTCTCTAACTCTGTCTTTCAAATAAATCTTTAAAAATATAAATAAAGTCCCAGCATTTGCTGAGTTCTGAATTTCTAGTCACTTCTTTATGCTCCCCATTCCCCTATTTTTGAAATAGAATTTCTTTTTTTTTTCTTTTTGACAGGCAGAGTGGACAGTGAGAGATAGAGACAGAGAGAAAGGTCTTCTTTTGCTGTTGGTTTACCCTCCAATGGCCGCTGCGGCCGGCGCGCTGAGGCCGGCACACCGCGCTGATCTGATGGCAGGAGCCAGGTGCTTCTCCTGGTCTCCCATGGGGTGCAGGGCCCAAGCACTTGGACCATCCTCCACTGCACTCCTGGGCCACAGCAGAGAGCTGGCCTGGAAGAGGGGCAACCGGGACAGAATCCGGCGCCCCAACCGGGACTAGAACCCTGTGTGCCAGCGCTGCAAGGCAGAGGATTAGCCTAGTGAGCCGCGGCGCTGGCCTGAAATAGAATTTCTTTAAGAGTTTGCCAAGCATTTGCTGCCACTTGCTGCCAGTTTATGTGGGTGTGGTGGGAGCAGTAAATTTGATGTTGGTTTCACAGATATAAAGATGGAGAGGGATGAAGACAAGGAACTATACCCCTATCAGTTCATCAGAGAAACCTCATTCAACCTATACCCCCACCCCACCCCAGGGGCTCATGTCTCTGCCATTTTCAGAATTAACTGCGTCTCTCAAAATGTCCCCATGCAATTATAGCATCCACCCAAGGGCTCAGTCCTTTCAGTCCCTGTGGATACTATCAAAGGAATTAGATTGTAAAATTAAATGTTAATTCCTCATAACGTTTTTAAAAATCTGTAAGTCTTCAGAGAGGCATATGTTTTACGATGAATAGAAGGGTTTGGTTTACTATTATTTACCCCAACCTGTCTAGATTAGAGGATAAAGTTATTCTTTGCCTCTTAATTTGAAAGATGTATATTGAAATGACTTGTTCTTTGTATTAGTGTCTTAATATACATGTTATATATATATATATATGCTTTTGCTGTCACATGTATACATACATTACACACACATATATCTGGAGATACTTCAAAAAAATTATGAGAAAATAGAATTAAAAGAATTCTGGCACAGGCCTTGTGGCACAGCAAGCTGGACACTACTAGAGACACCTGTATCCAATACTGGATTGCTGGCTGAAGTCCTGGCTACTCTTTCTTTCTTTTTTTAAAGATTTATTTATTATTTGAAAGGCAGAGCTAGAGAGAGGCAGAGGCAGAGAGAGAGAGAGAGGTCTTCCATCTGTGGGGAGCAACTCGGACTAGACTAAGTTACTGGAATTAAGACTTATTCTATGCATCTGCTCTCCCACAATATGGCGCTGAGAAGGGAGAAACAGCTTCTGCTCAGCTGCCTCCAGTTCAAACAATAAACTGTAGGACCTGCTCCTGATTGGAGGAGAGCAGCGTACTCGGCGTGTGGGTAGCAGAGTTGGGATTGGTGGAAGAGGACTATAAAGGAGGAGATAGACAACATGCACGAGGAACATCTAAAGGGAACATCTATCTGAAGGAACACCTGTGCAGCCCCCGAGAGAGCCGGCCGGCGGTGTGCCGCTCCCCTGTGGAAGTGGGGAAAGTGGCCAGGGGGAACCGCCCTTCCACAGAGGTGGAAGGGACAGTAGCCAACCCAGGAAGAACCAGCAGCAAACCCGGGAAGGGCCGAGCGGACAAAAGAACAGCGCAGGGTCCTGTGTCGTTCCTCCACGAAGATGGGGAGCGACACCATCCAATGGTTCACTCCCCAGATGGGCACAATGGATGGAGCTGCACCAATCTGAAGCCAGGAGCCAGCAGCTTCCTCCAGGTCTTCTCACACCGGTGCAGGAGCCAAGGAATTGGGCCATCTTCCACTGCTTTCCCAGGCTACAGCAGAGAACTGGATCAGAAATAGAGCAGCCAGATCTTGAACTGGTGCCCATTTGGGATGTCAGCAGTGCAGGCAGTGGCTTTACCTGCTATGCCACAGCACTGGCCCCCTGGCTACTCTATTTCTGATCCAGCTCCTTGCTAATGAATCCTGGGAGACAGCAGATGATGCCAAATACTTGTGCATCTTTCACCCATATGGGAGACCAAGATCATCTTCCTGGCTCCTAGCCTTGGCTAGGACCAGCCCTGGCTGTAGCAGACATTTAGGAAGTGAACCAGAGAATAGAAGATCTGGTTCCCCCTGTCTCTTCTCTTTCTCTCTCTCCTTTTCAAGTAGGTGAAAATAAACACAACTTTTTAAAAAGATAAGTTTATGCAAAATAAAGTTGAAATTCATTCATAGTTTGTTCATTATATGCATTTCCATTAACTTTGAAGTTGACTATAGATATAGATATAGAAAAATATAGATATAGATGATATAGATTGTCACATCTTTGGCAGGAGTGATAGGTCCAAACAAGGCCAACCAAAATCTTTCCCTAGAAGAATGACACAGAAGCTGAGAAATTAAAACTCCTTTCCACACTGTCTGCTGTGTGGGAAAGGCTTTCCACAGCAAGAGAGGCCATTAAAGTTGTTGCTCTTAAAAATACAAATTATAACAGAATTGTGTGGGGCCAGCGCTGTGGCTTAGTAGGCTAAGCCTCTGCCTGTGGTGCCAACATCCAATATGGGTGCCAGTTCTTGCCCTGCTGCTCCATTTCTGATCCAGCTCCTTGCTAATGTATTTGGGAAATCCGCACAGGATG